ATGTGCTATGTAGTGCAACCAAAGTGCCACGGTGAAGCAATAGCGACCAGCAGCGACGGGGCGGCGACGGGGCGGCGACGGCCGGCACGGAGCGGCTAGACCGACACACAAGCCCAGGCGACGGGCGGCGACGAGGCGGTGACAGGGCGGCGACGACCGGCACGGAGCCGCCAGACCGACACACAGGCCCAGTTTTATTTTGACCAGAAGTAAGAATCGCCAAGTGCAAGCACTATTTGGTGAATGTAGTGCAATCCATGCTGTGAAGTCTATGTGCTGCAATCTATGTTGCGCAAACTGTGTGATACATTACGAGTGGTTGAGCAGGTTGTGTTGTGCAAAATATGTGGTGCAATATCAGTTCTGAGCGAACAAAAGACGCGCCGCAGTCGCAAATTTTTGCTTCGTGCAATATATGTGGTGCAATCCAGCGGCGGCGAAGAGGTGTCGACGGGGCGGCGACAGCGACAACATAGCCGCCAGACCGGCCACACGGCCCAGACGACGGGCGGCGACGAGGCGGCGACGGGGCGGCGACGGCGACAACATAGCCGCCAGACCGGCCACACGGCCCGTTTCCTTAGCGCAGAAGAACCCGTAAGTGCAAGCATTGTTTGGGGAAGAAAAACATGACATGATAGCGCGCAGTGTGCCAGGATTCTCTCAAGTTCGAGGCGAGCGTCGAACCCTCACTGGCCTACGCAAACATGTGAGCGTGAGCACCCTCCGAGCGCGATATGTAAACGCAGGAACGCGGACACCTGCTGCTATCTTCACAGCTCCCAGCCGAAGCTGGATCAAGGGGGGCGGGGGCAAGGCAGTGGCTCCGACAGGCCCAAGTCTGAGCCTTGGGGGCCACACCACGCCGACATGTGGGGAAGGGGTTTAGCAGATGCGTAGCACAAGTCCAAAGTTCCGACTGACGAATAGCTGGGACGGCAGCCTGCAGATCAGACGCCGCCGTGCGAGTAGTACGGTGGACCTATGCTTGAAAAACCTTTCCGCCGCCGTCGCTGCTTGGTATATGAAGTGCGCTATGTCGGGCACCTTCCACAAGTGAAAATTCTCACTCGGCGAACTCGTCGCAAGGTACGCGAGGAAAGGGTTCATGCAGGTGTGCCTGAGGATGTGCACGGGCCCGAATGTGCCATGGGCGGCGAACTGCTCCCGGACGCATGCTGCATACAGGTCCTTGAAAGACCCGCGCAATCCTTGTGTTCCTGCTTGCGCTGGCGGATCACATGAACGAGCTGCGAGTGCTGCTACGAAGACGGGAAGGGACCAAACACTGCACATTGCTGTTTGCCGTCTGCGTTGGTGATCACGGAACGAAAGCTTGGAAGCGTCGCCAATACCGCGCAATACCGCGCAACACGTCGAGGAGGCGGAGGAGGATGGAACACGCAGCAAGGACAACGCGGTTCATCCCATGGAGTAGCAGTCGAATATTACGTGTTTGGCATTGGCGCGCAGCGCAGCACAGTCATCTGATGCCGACTATTGTCATTCACAGCAGTGGGGACACGGCAGCAGCAACTAGGTCAACAAAAAGTGTCCGCAGCCATCGTGGCTGAAGGTGTAATGATTCTTTGAGATTTGCAGCCCGACCCACTTCGCTAGATGGATGCGGCAGTGCTCGCGATAGGCCGACGCTAGAGGTTTCGCTGTGATGGAGGATCCATGGCCATAGACCTTCGCTCCGGGCTGCTGCTCAAGGTCAAGGTCGGCAGGCATGGACATCATGTTGCACAAGATTACGCAATGGGAGGCGCACGAGTGTACAGTGGAGGCCCATGGCAAGAAACACCCTGCTTGCCTCCAGGGTGCCGTGGGTTTCTTGGGTTTTGATGGTTTTGCTGTGGAAAGCGTGGCATTCCCACACCAAAAATCAGTAGACTTCCTAGGATCTCAAGATTGGAATTCTTGTGGAAGGTTTCTTGTGGTCGGGCCTCCACTGTATTCATCACCACGAATCCACGACGTGCAGATCAAAAACCATCTTCTCATCGAACTTGCGAGAATCACCGAGGACGACGTGGGACACTGTTACAAGTTACGCTTCGCGAGAGGAACAAGACAGAGAGACTCTCGTGTGGGAGTATCGACGGAGATTAATCACCGTCACGGTAATGTGGTCTTCGAGGAGGTATCTCGAGATTCCGTCGGCATCACAGACGCGAGGCAATATGAGCCAGCCGATATGTACGATGTCCGCGAAGTTTGCGGCACGTCCGCCACGAACTTCCTTGCTTCAGATTGCGACTACAGGTTTTGTGGGAAGTGTTGTTGGCATGCTTCGTGTTCGTGCTCGCGCTACGCAGACAATGCGCGATGCAATGATTGCAACAACACGGCAGCACAGGAATACGACCATGGTTATTGCAGACGCTGTTGCCCCGGTTGTAGTTTGCATTCTCGGTCCTAGGGATGCGGTGATGGCCTTTTGCTCAAGTTAATGCCGGTCAATTGTGGTGTGTTTCTTGCAACCGTTGCCCACCATGTGTTGGAAATGGTGGAACATTCGCAACGCAACGACCGCCTCAAATTAACAAGTTTCTGAGCAATGGCCCGCTCACATCGAAGTCGATGTTCGCATCCCAGGTAGCGTGCAATTTGAAGTGTGTGGTAACAGACAATATTTCAAACGACGCAGCACCATAGGAGGTCTGCACAGCATGTTCTGCTTGCTTGCGCTAGTTGATCAATTGCGCACACATTGCGTGGTGAATCACTACCCAATGGTTCTGCAAAGCGTCTTCTGAAGCCTCACAGTTCCTGAGAGCACGTCAACGTGAGCACCGCAGCGCATGAACATCTGTCACCTGCCCTCGCTCAGCAGAAAACAAAAGGCAATACGGAGGCCAAACAAAGTGGTCGGGCTGGGCTGCGCATGTGCACGCCCCCAGCACCGGAAGGCGCAAGGGCCCCGTCCTGCCCATCAGGCAGCTAGCGAGATGTACTGCGGGTCCTAGGAAGTCGTTCAGGGCGTTAACGCATATCGCCAGAAAGTCTACAAGTGTCGCCTCAGAAAACCATATATTATGTCCTCGACTCAGCGACGGTCACATTCTTGTTTGGGAGTGCTCCCCACACTCACCAGGCTCCTGAAATGAGCTGGATCAGGAAGGAGGGGGAGGAGGACCAGAAGTTGGAGGAGGAGGAGGAGGAGGAGCATCGTAGCGGGAAAATCATGATGGTGATGATGTTCACGATGAGGTGGAGGAGGCGGAAGAAGACGACGACGACGACCGCCACATGTGACGTTCAAACAACCCTGCCGGGCAGCGATTGACATTCTACCACGCCTCAATGTGCCATGGGGCATCATATCGGATTGGGCCAGTTTTGCGACCTCTTGGGCCGTCTTGGGGCCATTTTGCAGGCCTGTGGGACCGCCTTGGGCTGAAGGAAGCCCGAAAAGGTGAAGACGTGAAAACCACTCAAAGACCTGAGGGGCACCAGTGATGTTGGTGTCTGCGGGCCCTCGTGTGGCCCTCTTGGATCGTCTTGAGGCCATCGTTGGCCGTCTTGGGGCCACCCTGGGCCGTCTTGGAGGCGCCTTGGGCCATCATGGCCGCCTCCCGCGACGCTTCAGGGCCCGCTTCGATCCGATGGATATCGATTCTCTGTCCGGCTCGACCTGACTCGATCCCGATGTTCCGATCACCCGATGCTGCCTGCTGGTTGCATGACGTTCCAGCGTCTGGTCTGGGCCATCTGGGCACGCCCGAGAAGCGCTCGGCGAGGCGCAGGTGGCGGGCGCGTAAGGGGGGGGCGATAGAGGGGGAGGGGGGGGGGGGGAGCGAGGCTGCCGAAAAGGGGCCCTCGAGGGGCCCGAGAGGGGGCCTCCGTGGGGCCCGGAAGGGGCACCTCTCGCTCTCCCCCCCCCCATCATTTTCTGTCGCCCCCCTCCTCCTCCTCCTCCTCGTCCTCCTCCTCCTCCTCCTCCTCCTCCTTCTCCTCCTGCTCCTCCTCCTCCTCCTCCCCCTCCTCCCCCTCCTCCTCCTCCTCCTCCTCCTCCTCCTCCTCCTCCTCCTCCTCGAGGCTGCAGAGCCTCCCGGCAACCGCCGCCCGCGGGGGAGTCCCCGCCGTGCGGACGCACGGGGGCCCCGCTGCGGGCCGCCGCGCCTCCCCGGCGGGGCGGCGCCTCGCCCCGCCCGCCGCCGCCCCCCGGGGGGGCAGGGACGGCAACATGGGCGTGAACTCCGAGGCCGCCCGCCACGGCGCCACGCGCTTCCACTTCACCGGCCTGGCCGGGGCCCTGGCGGGGGGGCAGGCGGTGCGGAGGTCCGAGGCGACGATAGAGGGCGAAGCAGCCCATGGGGAGAGCAACACAGGTGTATTCAGGTGCGCCGAGGATCGCTGTCTTCGAGAGGGGCTCCCGGGCGATGATGCGTGTACTGCCCGCCCCCGGGCTGCTGGCCCCCTGCCGTCGCCGCCGGGCGGAGGGGGAGGAAGGTCAGCGGCGCCGCAGCCCCGGGCATGGCCCGCGCCGTGCAAGATCCGGGCGGGCGGTCTCTCCCAGGCTTCGGCCTCGGGCCCTCGCCGGGCCTCGGGGCCGTCAGCGAAAACGACGGGCAGCGCTCGGCCCGCGCGCGCGCGTGCGGAGGCGGGGAGCCCAGACGCCCTGCCGGGCACGATATCGCGCCGTGAGAGAGAGCACAGGACGGGAGGTTTTTGCCGGGTTTCGGCGAGGAGGAGGAGGAGGAGGAGGAGAAGGAGGAAGAGGAGGAGGAGCGAGGAGGAGGAGCGAGGAGGAGGAGCGAGGCGGAGAAGGAGTGAGGAGGAGCCCTCGCCGGGCCTCGGGGCCGTCAGATCTCGAGAACGATCCAGGATGAAGAGCCGGTCCCGGGGAAGGGGTCGGGGCTTCCAGGGACGCCGTCCTGAACAAGTCAGGACGACGCATGTCTGGGGCTGGCGTGGGGAACGACGATCACGGCGGAAGGTTCTCATCCAGCTCCAGGGGCCCTGGCTCAGAAAGGCACTCGGGATGAGAAGCCGGTCCCGGCGAATCCCTCCACGAGGCGGCGCCGATGGCCGCGGGCAGCGGCGAGGATGGCCGGACGCCCCCCTTCCTGTCTCTCTAAGCCATGGTGCCCATGGTGAGGGAGAGGGAATCGGGGGCGGCCAAGAGGGGGATGATGATTAGCGGGTTGTGGATATCATGGTCAGGGCCATGATATCTCCCAGATGTCATGGTCCCCTCTTCTTCCCTCAAGACGTCCCCTAGTCATCCCCTGGGCCGCGCACATGTCTCGTGCCACGATTTTCGAACACCCCTCTTGGACGCCTCCCTCTTGGACGCCCCCGAGGGAACCAACCCCGCCCCCCAAAAATATGGATTTTAGGTTTCCACGTTTTGTCCCTATGGCGAACGGGCGTAGCCGCGGGCGCCGTGAAGGCGAGACCGCTGCCAGGTGCCGCGGGCGCGTGGGCCCGCGCGAGCGACGACGGCGCGGGTCCGAACGACGCGGCTGCGCCCTCCGCCGGCACTCCCGGGGTCACGCATTTCACTGCCGCGCCCCGCAGTCAGAGGCGAGGGCAACACGTGCTTCTCGCATGGCGGCACCGCTGGTCCGTGGCTGGAGGGCCCTGCCCCCGCACCCGACGCCCACTCGCCACTCCGCACAGTTAAAGTTTAAATTGGCGGCGCTTCCCTTGAGCTAACTGGTCATATTTGTTGGCGCTTGTGTAAACGAACTTGTCGCCAAAAAGTGCTTGCACTTAGGGTTTTTAACTTCTCGCTGTCTACGGGAACTGAGCCTGGGGGCCGGTCTGGCATTTCCGTGGTCGCTGTCGCCGCCCCGTCACCGCCTCGTCGCCGCCCGTGGTCTGGGCCTGGGTGTTGGCCTAGCGGCTCCGCGGTCGGCGTCGCCGCCCGCACGTCGTCTGGGCCTGGGTGCCAGTCTAGCGGCTCCGTGGTCGTTGTCGTTCGTCGTCACCCTGTTGCCGCGTAGATTGCACCACGTCGATTGCACCACGTAAACACAGCATCTATAAATATATACATCTACATTTATTACGTATGTGTATGCGTATTGTAGAACAACGATTGCACTACATAGATTGTAGCACATACGTTGCACCACATAGTTTGCACCACATAAATGTCACCACGTAGATTGCACAATATTGAGCGCACAGCACAGCTTGCACAACATCGATCGTACAACATAGATTGTACAACGTAGACATCATGATCTTATCTCTCCCGAATTTGACGGTTTCCCTTTCGTATTGCAAGCTACACGTGAATTTGCCCCATCGTCCATCATCATAAGTATGTATGAACTCGTACCACGCCAGCCAGGCCAAATGTGCCCCTTTCATCTTCAGCAGAAAATGCTATGCGCGCGCATCCGTTCATCATAAATCCGCAGTTTTTGAAGAATCCTTTGCAACAGGAAGGAACGAAGTGTACACGCGCGCGTCGTCGCGCGCGCATGCCGAAACCCTTCAAACTCCTGAGGTGTCGTAAGGATTTCAAAATCGAGTACCCCGATAACATACAGAAGCACATTGTCTCCCAACAAGAGTTTTTAAACTGAAAGCTTGCACTCGGGCTCGTGCGGGTTCTTAAGGAAACCGTCTGCTTTCCAACATTTTCACTACATGCTACCAAGCGGGCCTCTCGCACGCGCGTGTCGGACTCGCAAGAGCGCCCTTGCGCGCGTGTTCTCGCATGAACCCCTTGCAATACATGTGACGACATGCACACGCGCGCGTCGTCGCGCGCGCACGCCAAAATCCGTCACGAACTTCAGATTTCGTCAGGAGTTCAAATTCGAGTGTCCCGAAACTATATAAAAAACATCTGGTTTTTTAGAAACACCAGTTTTACAACAAGCTTGCGAAATCTTAAGAATACCGCAGTTTGTTGTGTTTTGTTCCCCCCAAACATGTCCTTTCCATTCTGCCAAGCGGGCCTTTCGCGCTGCATGTCGAAATCATTCGAACGTCCTTGCGCGCGTTCTGGGTCGTACCATGTTGGCCACTCTCGCGCGTCGCTTGCGCGCGCATGTCGAACTCCTTCCAACACCTTCATCACCGACGCGAGGACGCCGTCGTCGTCGTCGTCGTCGTCGGCATGATCAGCATCGGCGCCGTCAGTTGCCGTACCGTCGTCGTCGTTTCCATCGTCTCCAACACCGCTGCTATCATCATCGCGTCTACCATTGTCGACGTTGCCATGATACTGCGCCTGCCTGAGCTGCCGATTCGCACTTAAGTGCCCGTTGGGAAGCGCCCAGTGGTCAGCGCCGGCGCGGCCGCGTGAGTCGCGCCAAACGAGCTGGCCGCTTTGCGCACGAGCATGCGCGCTAGCGCGGCCGCGGCGATGCGGCAGCCAGCGCCGAGAAGCCATCGCAATCGCTGCCGCATGGTACTGCACGCGGGTGGGTGGGATGATTGCGCGAGCAGTGGAGTTGACAGTTTCAAGTTCGGCAGGGTGAATTGCACCACGTAAATTGCTCCACTTACACTGCACGACATGCATGCCTAGAACTACACTGTTTGTGGCCTGCGCTGGATAACACTGTTTGTGTAACAGTTCTGCGATTCGGCCGCGCGATACTTCCCGCGTGGAAGAAGTTCAGGCGCATTTTTGGCTGGAGCGTGTATGAACCGATTCACCTGGTGAGTGTTTTCAATTTCGGGGGGATTCTGAACTTTGTGATGCGCGCCTAGTCATGGTTTGCTTGGTGGGCCGCCCTGACGTCCTGCTAGTGCCGCGAACGGCTGGCGGACCCCCCCGATGTCAGCGCCAGCACGGGCGCGCGAATGTCTACGAGGTCAAAACAAAATAGTCGCCGCGTGTCTGTCTCATTGCGGGGCCTTCCGGCTGGGAGGAAGAGTAGCAAAGTAGCGCCAAGTTCGAATTCCGACGAGCCTAGCAGCAACGCGCCACCCTATTTGGAATTACGCGCTGTCGTCGTTGGCGGGCCGTCGATCGTTTTCCGCTTGAGGGTCGCACGTTGTTTGACAGTCGACTGACCTGAAGTTCTCGATGTGAGGGGTAGGGGTCACTTTCCGCGCCCTCACACGTGTGTCGTCGTCCGCCCCCTCCATACTCTATCCTGTGTCCTCCTCCCTCCGCCTCCCCATTACTCCTTCCCTCCTCTTTCCCTTGTCCTTCCTTCCTCCGTCACTTCCCTCCCTGCCTCCACCCGCTTCCCTTGTCCATCGATCCCTCCTCCTTGTCTCCCTGTTCATTGTCCCCCTCCCCACCCACTTCCACTTCTCCTCTCCCGCCTCTTGCACCTCTCCCCTTCTCCTGTTTTTCGACCCTATCTCCTCGTGTTCATCCTTCTTCTCCTCTGAGAACGCCCCGCGGCGTCAAATGGTTCACATCTTCAGTTACCTCCCGCTGTCGTTTCCGTTTCCGCGATGTCCTCGCTTGCGCTCGCGCCACCGTTCACGTTTACCCTCTCGGCGACATGTGTCATCGCATTCTCGAACATACTGTTTGCTTCAATCGCAGGCCTTTTTTCCATTGCGACATCCTTCCCTCCATCTGCCTGTCCCGCTCCTGTTCCCACTTCCCGCTCCCGTCTGTTTCCTCCGTCCCTCCCCTCCCTCCCTGTTTCCATGGCTCCAGGAGCAGGACAAAAAACATATGGGGGATGACGGAGGAGGCAAAGCGAGTGGTCCAAGCGGCTCCATAAGCCTTCCCCACCGTGTCACTCCGCCCGACGGCCCGCTCTGCACCGCCCCCCAGCACGCGCGCCAAGCCCAACCCGCACCGCGACCCATACCTCAACACCATCACGCCCCGCGGAAGACAACTGCCCCGCAGGCATCCGGTGCCTTGGTTTTTGTTGATGCGATGCGTGTGGCCCCCCCCGAACTTTCCACCGCTTCCTCACGGCCGGCCTTTTGGTCCTGGGCTTTGTTCTCCAAGTAGGCTTGCCCTCTAGGAGTCCTAGCTCAAACCCTACTAATTGGTCCGTTCCCCCCCCTAGTTCTTATGCCCCCTAATTCCTATGGCTATGCCTATGCCTTTGCTTATACCCCCCTAACTCCCATGCTTACGCCTATGCCTATGCCTGCTTGCTTGCTTGCGCGCTTGCACGCTTGCTTGCTTGCGCGCTTGCTTGCTTGCGCGCTTGCGCGCTTACTTGCGCGCTGACTTGCTTGCTGATTTGCGGATTCCAAGCATGCTTGATTCTTCTGACTCCTTCACTTGCGTCGTCCAATCTATTTGGAGTCAACGCCGGCTGATATTTCCGGACCGCCCCAGAGGCCCGAACCAGTCTCCAGCGGAACAGCAACACAAAAAGACGGCCACGAACCCGCCACCGCGACGTTCTCGAGGCACGCCGGTGCTCTTCGCGCGAGAAGTCGACCACGAAACACACGACACCACCCACCCTACGGCATGCGGTGCTGGATGTTTGCGACCTTGCCTCGCTGTCCCTTGCGTGTCAGGAGGGAAGGAAACACACAGACACAATTAATCTTCGATTCCCCAGAAAATACGGGAAAATATGGGAAGTGGGGGGGAAGACAGAAACCCAGAAAATATGGGAAAATATGGGGAGTAATTTTATTTGTGTGTATTTATTTCTGTGTCCTGGGGCCCCTTCAGCGTGGTGCTCCCTGGCCGACGGCGGCATCCCGACACCGCTGCGGCGTCTGCGCGACGACAAGCCAGCCAGGGCTGCACGAGGCAAGTGCTTGACATTCCGACGCCGTCGTGCCCTAGGTGGGGTGGTGTCGCTGCGCTTTTGGCCCAAGAATCGGGGGTGGACAGAACCCCCAACAGTGACACGTCGATTAGTGAATTGTCCGTTTTCGGTTCTCGAGAGGGCGCCTTGGCCGTTATTTTCCAGGCCTGCGCCCGCCGGGTTTGGGCCCGAGGTCGTTTTCACTAAACCACGTTTTGCTAAAGGGAGGTCTGTCCATCCCCGAAAGAAGCTCCCACGAGCTCCTCCGTGGCGCGCGGCCTCCTCCGATCTCCCGGACAGCCGGCGCCGCGGCCTTTTGTTCCGAGGCGCGGGCCTCTCCGACTTCTCGGCCATTTTTTCGGGCCGAAGGAAGGGGGGTGGGGGATAGAGAAAGGGGGGCTACGATATCTGCTGCGTGCAGTTGCCGGGTCCACCCCTCGATGCATCGGGGCGCGCCGGGGAAATCAGCTATACGCGAGCTGATTCGCCAACCCCCCCCTTTGCTATGCCCCCCGTCCGTGCGACCCGACACTTCCCCGGGCCGGAGGCCCGGTGAGGGCCCCGAGAGGCCGAGAATGATGAACAACTTCCGCCTCGATGTTTCTCAAGACGCGGGGTGCCGGCCACGCGCAGATGGGGGTAGAGGGGAGGCTTCTTAGAGCCGCCTTGCTCCTCAGAAGGCGCTGTCAGAAGCAGCCTCCCTCCGAGACGCCTTCCCCCCTCCCCTTAATTCGGGCGTGTCCCTCTACAGGAGGAACATTCAGACATGGTTTTTGTAAATAGCCTGGGGACGATTCTTCTATGATTGTCTGGATATTCTTTTTTGGGAGTATTTCTTTCGTCCAAAACCCGCCTGCAGGGGGACCTGCCCGACCTAACCCTACCCCCTGCCCCCCCCTCTTGTGCGCGCCGCCAACGGGCGTGGCTCGCCCGAGGTGGACGGCAAGGCCAAGCTGGAGGCCATAGACCGGCAGCTGAGCGAGCTCCACGCCAAGGCGCGGCGCGCACGCCCGGTATGCCCGTGGGCGGCCTGCGCGGCGAGGGTTCCCGGCCTTTGAGGATGGGAGGCGCCGGTCGACGGTCACATCGGGCGTGGCTGCGCTGGGGTGTGGTTTGCGATCGGCGCCGTCGGGGTCTTTGGGGCACGACGCTGTCGTGGGAGGCGCGGGAGGAGGGAAGGGACGGACATAGGTGGGCGTGCGCGGGAGGGAGGGGGGAGGAGAGGGAGGGAGGGCGTGAAGAGGGCAAAGGTATGGAGGGCGGGAGGTAGCCAAGGCAGGGGAGGCAGGAAGCGAAGGAACTTTTGCAGAGGAAGGGATGGAGAGGGAGGGAGGGCTGGGGCATGGGAGGTGCGCGTGCATGGGAGGGAGGAGGTGGAGGAAGAGGAGGGAGATGGGAAGGGGGAGGGAGGGAAGGAGGGAGGGAGGAGAGGAGGAGAGGAGGAGAAGGAGGAGGAGGAGGAGAAGAAGGAGGAGGGGCAGGAGGACAAGCTAGGTGCGTTAGCGTCATATCCGTAAGGGCTTCGCCCCCTGCCGCCGGCCCCCTCTCTCGGAGAATGGGCCATGGAAGAGCTAAGTCATGAGGCCTTGGCGCTGTCGTGAAGCAGTATCGAAACTTCATGCGAAGCCGATTCGCAATCAGCAAAACCAACTGATCACAAGAGGGGTTACCACACCTGGCGATTGGTAAGACGTGTATGGTTTACGGGCTTGGTTACCACACCTTGCGATTAAAGGGCCGAGGGAGTTCTCGCAGTTTGGGTTACCACGCCTTGCGATGGATGTGCGCGAAGGGTGGCACCGAATTTCAGAAATGTGGCAAATCCCCTGTGTTTTTGGACCCTGACCCCGCGGATCTGCGTGAGGGGTGGCACCGAATTTCAGAAATGTGGCAAATCCCATGTGTTTTTGGACCCTGACCCCGCGGATCTGCGTGAGGGGTGGCACCGAATTTCAGAAATGTGGCAAATCCCATGTGTTTTTGGACCCTGACCCCGCGGATCTGCGTGAGGGGTGGCACCGAATTTCAGAAATGTGGCAAATCCCTGTGTTTTTGGACCCTGACCCCGCGGATCTGCGTGAGGGGTGGCACCGAATTTCAGAAATGTGGCAAATCCCATGTGTTTTTGGACCCTGACCCCGCGGATCTGCGTGAGGGGTGGCACCGAATTTCAGAAATGTGGCAAATCCCTGTGTTTTTGGACCCTGACCCCGCGGATCTGCGTGAGGGGTGGCACCGAATTTCAGAAATGTGGCAAATCCCATGTGTTTTTGGACCCTGACCCCGCGGATCTGCGTGAGGGGTGTCGATTTCGAGCCCCCCCAGCAATTCAGACAACGCGCCCAGGAGACGCTAAAAGTATTGTTTGGGCCTCCCCCCCCCTCGCGCGGTCAATCAACTAGTTACAGTAACCAGCAAGAAGTCAACTAGTTACAGTAACCAGCAAGAAGCAGAACTGTAACACTGGAAACTAGAAACTACAACTGGTACAGGAAACTGCGAATCACGGGCCTCGCAGCCTGGTGGCCCCACAAGGGGGCCGGCGGATCTGACGTCCTACCCCTCCCTCCCATCCCTTACCATGGCGTAGATATTCTCTCTATTCGCACAGTCGAATGTCGAGCAGGGCAATGATCGCGAGCAGGCACGCGATGCATGGTAGTTCACAGCATGACATCGCATAGAAGAGCACGGCAGAGCGTAGCATGCCATAGCATGGCGTGGCATTGCGCAGTGAAGCATTGCATCACAAAGCATTGCAACGAAAAGCATAGCATCGCACAGCGGCGCAGAACACAGCACCGCACAGCATGTCATGGCATGGCGCCAGGTTCTTTGCAGGGTAAGTGTATCGTCTTCGAGAGGTCTGGGCCGGTCTGGAGTCGTGGCTCCATGTCTAGGTCCTTGGGCTCCCCGACAAGCTCCACACAAAACGGGGCCGATGGAGAGCACCCGCTGGCCTGCTTTCAACATCGCCTTCTCAAAGCAGAAACGGGGCTCCCGCATGATACTTCCTGAAAACGACGACGCCCCAAAGTGGGGGGGGGAGCTTTACCGCCTCAAGAATCAACGAATCGGCACCGAATGTGTAATCACTTCCGATGGTTTTTGCGGGGGGGCATTGCCCCAGAATTTTAGGCCTACTTGGAAGGCCAGCGCTGCAGCGGGAGCACGATTCGGAACGAGCGGAAGCAAGGAAATGAGGCCAGCGCTGTAGCGGGGAAAATGAGGCCAGCGCTTCAGCGGGAGCAACATTGAACAAGCAACCCAAGCGAAAACCCAGTTCCCGGGACTCCTGCGCGTAAATAACAGCACGCGGAGGGGGCCGGATAGTTTCCGGACGTCGTCAGGGGAGAGAGGAGAGTAGTATTCAGATGGTGTAGCTGTGGAGGAGGAGAGGACCAGGAGGAGGAGCGAGGAACGAGCCAAAGGGGCAGCGTCTGCTCACAGGCACAGCTCTACTCTAGAAGGGAAGAGCTGAGCCCCGTCCGCCCCCCCCCCCTTCCCCAGGGTCCTGCCAGACTCGGGGTGCCTCCCCCCCCCCCCCTTCAAGCGGTGAAGGACGCGCCGCTTGCCGGGGGCCAAGTCTCGGGGGTGGAGGAGGAGGAGGAGGAGGAGGAGGAGGAGGAGGAGGAGGAGGGAGGCAGGAGGAGGGGGAGGAGGAGAGGAGGAGGAGGAGGAGGAGAGGAGGAGGAGGAGGAGGAGGAGGAGGAGGAGGAGGAGGACGAGGAGGAGGAGGAGGAGGAGCAGGAGGAGGGGCCGCGCCCGGCTGGCCGACCGCCTCCGCCCGAGCCTGCCCGCCGGCGGGGCCCGCGGGGCTGCAGGCCGGCGCGCGGGCGGCGCAGGCTCGGGGCCCCTCGGCCTCGGCTTCGGCGGCGAGCCCCCCGAGGGGGAGCAGGGAGGAGGGAGGAGGGAGGAGGGAGGAGGGAGGAGGGAGGAGGGGCGGAGGGAGGAGGGAGGAGGGGGGAGGGAGGGGGGAGGGGGAAGGGTCAAGCAGTGGCGAAGCGTCCTGGCTCGCCTATAGCCCTACCAAAAGGGTCAAGCAGTGGCGAAGCGTCCTGGCTCGCCTATAGCCCTACCAAGCAATGTTCTAAGAATCTCTTGTGGCTTTCACGCAATGTTCTTAGGACATTTCTGGCGGAGAGGGTCTTGTTTTAACACATGGGGTTTATGTTCTAAGAGCATTGTTTTTGTTATTAGAACATCTTTGGGTTCTAAGAACATTTCGTGGTAGGACTATAGGAATGCCGGGACGGTCGGCCTCTGCTCAAAAGGGAGCAGGGGAAGGCCCCTCCCAGGATCGGGGGCGGCCAATCAGGCGATCGCAAGCATGGCTTCGAGAGGGCGCGGATCAGCGACGGGTCCCGCTTCCATGGGAAGGCGCGGATCTCCGCCGCCGAGCGAGGCGGCGCTGGCCGCATTCTGGGGAGGGCACCTTCCCCGATCCATGGATTTGGCGACCGCGCGCCAAATCCATGGATCGCTTGTCCATGTTTGCGCGTCCCCGAGCCAAGAGAGGGGGGTGATGACCAGGGCGGGTGCGGACAGCATGGCGAGGGCCAGGATGTCTCCCCGGATTTCCTGGCGCCTCTCCTTGCTTCAGCGCGTCCCCAGCCCCCCCCCCCGGGCCGCGCACATGCCGCCGGCCATGCTTTTGCGCCCCCCCCATTGGCGGCCCCCTTCCTCTTGTCCGCCCCCGGCAGCAGGCTCGGAAGGCCGCCGGCCTTCCGAGAAGTTTTGCCGGAGCCTTCCCCGAGGGCACAGAACGCTTCTCGCGAGGCGCGAGGGCTTCCGAGCAGTCCCGCCGCCTTCCGAGATGGACCTCCTCCTGCTCGCTTCTCCCCTCGCTCGCCGCCGACTTTCTACTCTCAGCCTCCTCCTGCATGGCGCGGGCGCAGGCACGCGGAGGGCCTGCGTGTCGGCGGGGGGGGGCGTCGCCACGCGCAGGGCGCCCCCACAGCCAAGCGCTTTGGAGGGCCGAGGGCCTCCTCCTCCAAAGGCACCGATGCCGCCGCTCGCCCCGGAGAGCCCTCTGTCGCCACGGCGGGCCTCCACGAGGCCTGGAGAGAGCCCCGCGCTCACGAGGCCCGGGGGGCCCCCAGGGGCTCCTGTGACGATGGAACGGACCTGGGCTTTCCAGATGGGGCCGGAGTCGGAGGGGGTCGGAGGACCGCGCCGCATCGCCGATGCAACGGCGATGCGGCTTGATGAGGAGCCCGATTTTTTTCGCGCCGACGTCGCCGATGCACCGCCGACGTCGGTGATGCATCGGCGATGCGGCGCGATCCTTTGACCCCCCATCTACTCCGACCCCATCTAGGAGGCCTCCTAAAGCTGGGGGCACCTTGGGCCAGGGGCACCTTGAGCACCCCCCGACCTGCGGGGTCTGGTCGGTCGGATCTAGACCTGCCCAAGCTCAGAGGAGGAGCAGATACCGACACCGCTGCTCGTCTTGGACAGCCATCGTCGCCACGGCTGGATTCTCCCCGAGATTCTGGTCAGAGCGCACCCCGGGAGAGGTCCAGGGAGTGGCGGTGTTGGCGCCTTTGAGGCTGCTTTCCTGCAGACTCTGGCAAGTTGACTTGCATGGCATTTCCCTCCCCACACCGCCGTCGTTTCAAACAGCGCTGGGCCGACAAGGCGTGCAAGGCAATCCCGGCTTGCGTGAAGTCCAGACTTCTTCTCGGGCGTCGCGACGCCCCCCCCTTCCATGCAAGTACGGTCGGACCGATGTATGAGATCGAGGTCGGGTCGGGGAAGGTACCCTGATGTGTTTCGTGCGTGTTGGATGCTCTTGTGCATCCTTGGGGAGGGCACCCTCGAATGCTCTTCAGTTTGACTGGCGGATGGCCTCGTGTTCGTGACGGATGTTCTTTGGTCCTAGCTCCGGCCGTGAAAAAATTGCCGGGATCGGAGACACAACCGTACCTCTTCTCACCGAGCGCGTTCCACCACTCGCAAAGCGCCTGCTCGCCAACGTCCGAAAAACACAAACGTCTGCCCTGATGTTAATGTGCCACAGCTCCTCCGTGGCGGATCCAGACCACTTGCGAGCAGCTGCTTCGCGAGTCGTGGAACGGGCTTGTCTATCCTCGTCTCCCCAGAAGTCAGGAGGGGAAAAACATACACAGACACAAATCATGGTCGACTCCTAGGAAAAGATGGGAAAATAGGGGAAGTGGGGGGGAAGACAGAAACCCAGAACATCTTGGGAAATACGGGGGATCCTGTATTTGTGTGTATGTATCAGTGTGTCCCAGGGCCCCTATATTTCTAAAAGTCCTATATGTTTAAAATCCTATGTATTAAAAACTGCCCTGTATCTGTGTGTCCCAGGGCCCCTTCAAGACGCCGCGCGCGCTGCGGCGAGGCATGGGCCGGCCGGCGACGCGGCCCGCCGGGCGGCGGGGCCCTCTCTGGGGTGGGCCGAGGAGGTTCGCGGAGGGCGGCAGCGTCGGGAGGGCGGGGCGGGGTCCAGATCTCCGACGATGTGATGTCTCCTCCTTCTCCTCCTCCTCCTCTTCCTCCTCCTCCTCCTCCTCCTCTTCCCCCCCTCCCTCCTCCTCCTCCTCCTCCTCCTCCTCCTCCTCCTCCCTCCTCCCTCCTCCTCCTCCCTCCTCTTCCTCCTCCTCCTCGTGCGGTCGCACACGCAGGAGCTGCCCTCCCGAAGTGCCCCTGAGCCCGAGGCCAGGCTTCGACGGACGGTCGCCCGCCTGCGTGCTAGTGGAGCGACGGATCTTCAGGGAGGAGAGGCGGCTCCTGCGGCACGGTCGGCCTCGCAGGGGCTGCCCTCCCAAGGGTTTCGGAGCCAGGCTCAGGGGGTGCAAGAGGCATCCTTTGAGGCAGGCCTTGATGCGGAGGAAGAGGCAGCGGCCTTCCTCCATGGATGATGGTGGGGGTCGGGGAATAAGCCGTTGGCCTTTGAAGCAGCCGCTCCTTGCCCTCCACGTTAAACATGTTTTTCCCTCACGGCCAGTGTAACAAAACTCCCTCCTTTTCTTCCTCCTCCTTTCAGCAGGGGGCGTTTTTCCTTTGTTGCGATCTCCCGGGCCCGTTGGATCGGGCCTCGCGGCCTCGGGGCCATAGAACAAGGAGATCCGGGACGCACAATTACTCTCAGAGGGGGGCGGGGAGTTCTGGGGCCGCGGGTTGAGACATTCATATCCGTGGGGAATGGCCACCGAACGCGTTCCACGACTCGCAAGGTGCCTGCTGGCAAACGTCCGAAACAAGAACAGGTTTGCCTCGGCGCAGTGGATCGAAGGTCCCCCGCAGCGGATCCAGGCCGTTTCGCGAGCATTTCCCCTGCAAGCAGTGCAACGCGCTTATCTTCATCGAGGATCAAGAAATCCCAAACCCTAAGAGAACACGGTGAAGACGTGTCCTTTCTGAGGTCCCCGTATTCGCATTCGGGACAATCATCCTGGGCGGTTTGGTTCGATACATCTGCAGGAAAGAGCCTCTATCCCTATGACGGCATTGGCCCTCCTGACTTAGGTTCCCTCCCAAAGGGTTAGGGGCCATTTCTTTGTTAATCATATTCAGATGGGAGGGAGCAGGTGGGGCCCAGAGCTCCGATGATGTGATGCTTTCAGTCCGGTCGCTGTTCCTGCTTCTCGGTCTCCGGGTCCTGTTCTGGCGGGTCTCGGCCCCGGCTGGACAACAATCAGGTCGGAGGATGTCTGGGGGGGGGGGGTTCTGAGGGAAGGGAATGGGGGAGGGAGGGATGGAGGCCCAGACATGATCGCGCCGAAACAAAAATCAGGACGGGAGGTTTTCGGCCATTTTCGGCCTCGGGGGGCCATCGCCGGGCCTCGGGAGCGTCGAAGAACGAC